CGAGCTTGAGGTTCGTGACAATAAAAATTGCCGATAAAATTACCTAAATTAACACTTTAATTTTCTTTACACAAATTTAAACTTAAAACACTAATATTTAATCACACTGATTCACTTTATTTCGCTCCGAAGCTTCGCTTGTCTCGCCAAATTCAATACTTCCTCGATCGCGTATTGCAGCGCCTTTATATCGGGCCCTTCCACGAAAACATCCAGAATATTCCAGAATATTCGAGTAAATACGCGCGCCAACCGTCCAAGCGAAGAAAGTTCGAGTATGGGGCTTCCAGAAAGCTTAGTTCTTCAATTCGATACTAGATGGCGCTGTCGGTTGAAAGATTAGTGATGTCATTTTCTGGAAAGCTCCCCTCGCTCTTGTCTCTGACACTAGAGGGCGCTAGTGCCGTCGACTTAGGCACGTAACACTGCCCCCTCCTAAGACATGCTCGTCCCGAGCATTATCGGCCCCATAATAACGCGCCAGGCGATCCACATGGACGATCTTAGGAGTCTTTCTTGCGCCTTTCTGTAACGGCTCCGCAATGTCAAGGGCTGTCCTATCCCATGGTGCACCAACATTGTACAATTTCGATGCTCCTCTACAACGTATCTGAGGTCCCTTCACCTCCGCACAACTTGTACATGTACGACACCAATCCTCGACATCGTCACGATAATGGACCCAGTAAAACTGTTCTCGGACCTTCAGTAGAGTTCGTTTAACTCCCAGATGGACTCTTGAACGACCATTATGGCACAGCTGTAGAACATTCGGCACTTTAGCCTTAGGGACAACCATTTGCAAACGACAGCTGTCTCCTCAACCATTGTCCCATTTACGGCACAGGACTCCATCCTGAATCAGCAAGCTGTCCCACTGGGCCCAATAGCCTCTAGTGGTCGAACTCATCGCTGAGACGTCACTCCACTTGGGCTTGGGAGCACTGGCTTTCATCCATTCCAGAATCGGCTTGATGTCCGGATCTTCCTGCTGTGCATGTCGTAGGCTGTCCTTCCACTCGTTGCTGAGGTGGTCTGTCCTGAGCATCCTCACGGATACCACTTCCTTACTCTTTTGTCTAGTACAATGTTTCCAAACTTCAGGACAAGGTCTTCTTGACAATGCATCTGCGTTGCCATGAGACTTCCCGCTGCAATGTCTGATAGTAAAGTCGTATCCCGGATGCTGCTGGGCGGTGATGTTAGCCGCACTTCCCTTCTGAGATCGTTCACCTTCTCTTTCTAGGGTTCGCTTAGGGCAGCTGGATCGAAAAGCCCCTTTCCCCACAGCCATAGCACCTAGGGCTTATTTGTGGTCGCGAACCGTACTCTCAACCTCCCCAGAAAACGAGAATTTCCTTTCTACGTTCCTACACTGGATCGAAGATGGCCCTTTTCCCCACAGCCGTAGCACCTAGGGCTATATCCTTTGTTGCGGTCGCGAACGGTAGCTGCTGCAACCTCCCTGACGCGATGGGAACGATGGTCCTGCCGCACGGCCTCTACCTCCAGTGCATGGGCCAAGGCGTCCTTAAGCGTCTCGTGGTGCCCGAGCCTCACAGCAGCTCTGACTTCCAGGTCGCGGATGCCGTCGATGAATGTCTGCACCAGGTTCCCTTCAATGAGCGCAGGTACAGATCGGTATGCTTTTCGCACCAGCTTCTCCACCTCTAGATCCCACTGCTGCAGGTTTTCTTTGATGCGCTGCACACGATCTTGAAGCTGCGCACGAAAGACGTGTTCCAGGTGAGCGTCGCCATATCTCGCCTCCAATGCCTCAAGGAGTTGCTCATAAGTCACTTCCTCACCGAGAGCTTCCAGAACTGTTAAGGCCTGGTCACGCAGGCCTAGTGTGGGAGCAGTCATGGCCTCACTTTTATTCCAGTCGTTCGCCTTCATAACAGCCTCGAACTGGATTTTGTAGGCTGACCAGGAAGAAGTCACTAGAACGGTGGCACTTTGAACCCACGTAGCGAAGGTGTAGTAGCTACTACGGGAGCTGTTGTTCCATCCCCAAGTTTGAGGACGTCCAGCGTTTTCTTCACGTCAGCCATCACGTTGTCAACCCGATTGTTCACTTGGTCGATTCGGGTTTCAGATTTCTCAATTCGGGTTTCAGCTTCTGACAGGCGGTTGTCATGTTGAGCAACCCTATCCTTCACCTCCTTCATCTCCTTCCCGAAGGTAGCGTGAAGTTCCTTTATAAGGAGCATCTGATCTTCCAACCGATGTGCCTGTTCCTCTAGTCGGCGGGTCTGTTCATCCTGTCCGCCCCGCAGCTGCTCTTTCAACTGATGGTGCTGTTCCTCCTGTCGGCGAGCCTGTTCCTCTTGTCGGCGAGCCTGTTCTTCCTGCTGCTCTTGCAACCAACGGGCCTGCTCCTCCTGTCGGCGAGCCTGCTCCTGCAGCATCACCATCAGAGCACCTAAGTCAGGTGCTGCAGATGTACGAGCTACTAACGGGCCCGTAGCCGGCGGCTGGCCCTCAGACGTCTGCGGCGTTGCACCACCAAATCTTCTTTGGTCTGTCTCCTGCTGGCGTTGACTTCGGGTACGGACACCCTCCGCTTCCTCCTTAGGTAAAATCGGCATGATTTCATCCCACTTCTGACACCAATTGTTACGAGCTTGAGGTTCGTGACAATAAAAATTGCCGATAGAATTACCTAAATTAACACTTTAATTTTCTTTACACAAAATTAAACTTATAACACTAATAATTAATCACACTGATTCACTTTATTTCGCTCCGAAGCTTCGCTTGTCTCGCCAAATTCAATACTTCCCCGATCGCGTATTGCAGCGCCTTTATATAGAGCTCTTCCACGAAAACATCCAGAATATTCCAGAAGATTCGAGTAAATACGCGCGCCAACCGTCCAAGCGCAGAAAGTTCGAGTTTGGGGCTTCCAGAAAGCTTATTTGTTCAATTCGATACCAGATGGCGCTGTTGGTTGAAAGATTAGTGATTTCATTTTCTGGAAAGCTCCCCTCGCTCTCGTCTCTGAAACTAGAGGGCGCTAGTGCCGTCGACTTAGGTGCGTAACATTATTATGAGAGGGGGTAAGCGTTACAATATCAATGACATGTTGCAAACCCGTAACATTCATTACTATACAGATGACAGCACTGATGATGCTCTTTACACCGGCCGTGCCAATATTTCACGGGAAAACGTCTCCGAGTACTGGGACAAACTTGTGTCTGAAGTCGAGTCTTTGCTGAACAGAGTCTCGGATTTGGGGCGACTAAATCTAGTAAATTTTAACCCCCAGAAGACACAAGCTTAACCGCTAAAAAGAACAACTTTGTTGTATCACCTCAGTTTCAAGGCACTTCGACTTGTTGCCTCAGCCAGTATCGGAATCCTTGGTTTCGACATATCGAGTGACGTGCAGTTTCGTGGTCACTTGGAAGAAAAGGCCAAATTGGCCTCTAAAAAGCTTGGCGTGCTCAGCAGAGCGGGACAGTATTCCATGCCGGCACACCGCCTGCAACTTTACAAGGCGCAGGTTCGGCCGCACATGGAATACTGTTCTCATCTCTGGGCTGGAGCTCCCCAGTACGTTTCGTTTTTTCGGTGTTTAGTTTTAAGCCTATTTTTGTGTTAATTTCGGTTAGGTTAGGGTTTTTAAAAATATATATACCGGTTTTCCTCTTAAATGGATTTCAGAGACCTTTAGAGAATTTTATACTTCGCTTATGGTCACTAATAGTTTTCACATTTTCTTTTGTAGCTATTGCCAGTAGGGGTAGAGATTCGCAGTTCTTTAATGTTTCAAGTTAAGATCATGAATCACTTAGTATGTGAATTGTTTTATTCCTGGTTTTCAATGCTATTTCAGTTGCTTGATAGAGAACATACATTTCTGCTTGGTATACCGTACAGAATTTTTTAAGCCTAAACTTCTTGGTATTTACTTCTCGTCCTTTTCTCCAACGTGAAAGGCCAGCTCCAACTCCTTCTTCAAACTTACTGTCATCCGTAAAAAAATTTAAAACATGTTCACTATTCATTTCATGTTGAAATTAACCATTTTCTTGGCAATGATAATCAATATCGATTTCTTCACCCGGGTGGTTAGATTCGCTTAGGTTTTTTTTTTTTTTTTTTGATTTTCCACCAAGGAGTATACCGTCCTTGACGGGAATTTATTGACATTTTTACACAATAGGTTACATTAAATGGCTTACACTATATTTTGCAAGCTGTTATTCTCTAAGACAAGATAACTAACATCAATGCGATTTGATACATTGATTAGGTATCGGTCCATTTAATATTATCACTATTATAAAATTATTTTTCACTGAATGAAATTATTAATAACAATATAAATTTGTATAATTATTCCCAGTAGCATTACATATTTTAGAAAATTAGAAAGAGTACCGAATTAACAAAAAAAAACGAATAGAAAAAAATTACAGAATTAATATAAATATAATACAGGGTATTCTTATGTCTACTGCTTATAATTTAGTCCTTAGCTTATAATTTATTAACATTCATTAAATTTGTGCCTTATTATCAATAATATAATATGAGTCATTAAGTTGTACAGATATGATTAGCAAACGAGCATAGGTAAATGAAAGAGATTTACTTATGTTATATATACAAGAAGGGTGAGAAAATAAGATTTAATTTAAGTAAAATACAAGTTATTCCTATATCTATTGCTTAGGAGTTAGACTATAGCTTATGATTTATTAACAATGATTAAAGCTAGTGTCTTATAGCCAAAATAATGTATGCAACGATTCGTGCGAACGTGATTAGCATATAAAAGAGAATTATAGAGAAGTTGTACATAGCCTTATACAGTTTTTTTTTATTATTATTATTATCAGAGTAATCTTAGATTTACATATTGTATTCTTAAGAACAAAGATAAAGTTTGAAAGGAGGAGTGATAATTATATATGTTAACTTAAATTATAAAAGTTATTAGAAAGTTTATACACAATTTATATCCTATGTATATTAGTTTAAATAATTTACAATTTATTGAATCCTTTAAGCTTATCTATGATGTAATTAATAAATGTAACGAAGGATTCAATAGCACTTTGTTTATTTGAAAGTTCCGTTACACAGTACGGTGATATACGTAGATTGCTACAAAGCATCTGGTGTCTTAGTCTATTATACTCAAATCTAGGACACTCCCTCAACAAATGAGTTAACGTTTGAGTAGTGGTATTGTCACAGGGGCAGAATGGATCGGCAGCGATTTTGAATCTATGCAGATATTCCTTGTGGTAGCCATGACCTGTTAAAGCCTGCGTTAATTGAAATGATACTTTGGTTGCTTTCCATAGTGCACAAATGTCCGTCAGTTTTGGGAGTAATTCTTTTGTGCGCGCTCCTTGTTCCGCGCTTTCATATCTTGTCTGCCAAGTTCTCCAAGTTTTTTCCCTCATAGTCCTTTTTACAAAGCTCATAGGGAACTTCGCGTAGTCAGGGGTTTTGTGTTGTGTGGCAGCGCCTTTGGCTGTCTCATCAGCAATTTCGTTACCTGCGTCGCCCGCATGGCCCTTAACCCATGAGAATATGAAATTAAGATCCACTTGAGCAGCTGTATATATTGTGTCATGAGTCTTTGCCACAATGGGGTGGGTGTTAGATCTCTTTTGGAGTGCTCTCAGTGCCGCCTGAGAATCACTCAAGATCTGTATAACCTCCTTGCAGCCCATGTGCATCCTTGTGCCCCCTTTGGGGTCTTTCGTCTCCTTGCTTCAATCTCCGGTCCAAAGTCCACTCGCAAGCCTCTTTAATCGCCAAGAGTTCCGCTTGGAACACGGAGCAGCTAGTATGTAGTTTCAGCCTCTTTTTTGTATATAACTTTTGAACCTTCGAAACAGACGAAAGCCGCTCCCACACCGCCATTTTCGAGCTTGCTTCCATCTGTATAGATTTGAATAGGCGCTGTTTCCTGTTCTAGATTTTCCGAATTCAGGTCTGCACACTCAATACTTATTCTTTTTGACGGATGTAATAACTCATGCACAGGTGTGGGCCTCTCATATTGTATATCCCTTGGTATTAAGTTGGTTGCCCCTTTCAGTCGAACTGTCTCAACTTCATGTACCTCCAGGACCCTGAGGTCCAAGGGCACAAATTGAGCCAGAGCGACCGCTGCCACCGTTGAGACTGTCCTAAAGGCCCTAATTGCCTTTATTGCAAATCCCCTTTGGGCCGACTCCAAGAGCTTCCTTACATATCGTTTTTTCGCCGCTTGACCCCAGATACCTGCTGCGTATGTAATTGTAGGCTCAATGACCTGTCGATAGATGGTTTGCACGTTATCGGGATGGGCTCCCCAGGTTGGTCGGGTGTAAATGCATAGTTTGTTGAAAATTCGCATAGCCTTCCCAACAACGTACTTAACATGATCAGCGAACAGAAGCTTTCGGTCAATGATCATGCCTAAGAACTTAATACTCCTTTGAAACGCTAAAGTGTGTCTCCCCATTATAAGGTGTGCTTCTTCAGCCTTACGCGTGAATGCAATGGCTTGCGTCTTAGTGGGTCCAAATGTCAATTTGACACTTTGCCCCCATTCCAATATGATTTCCAGAGCGCGATTGGTATTTGTTTGTAGGGTATTTACATCCTTTGCGGAGACGATAAGTAAAACATCATCCGCAAAGGCTTGCAAATGACATCCACTCGGAAGTTCAGCCTCAAGCAACTCGTCCAGTATCACGTTCCATAAAATGGGTCCACACGCTGAACCTTGTATGCAGCCCTTGGTGTTGTTCTTAGTAACCCGCGCTCCTGCGTATTCTAATGTAACTGTGCGGTTCATCGTATAGCTCTCTATTAAGTGGAAGATGTTCTTGGGGCATCTTATAGCACGTAGTCTCTCAAATAGTGCGGGCCACCACGCGTTGTCAAATGCGGAGCGGATGTCTAGAGAAACGCCAAGCACCTGTTTGCCATTCTTCTTAGCCGCTTTTACGATACTGAGTGCCGTATCTATAGCTGTAATCGTGCTGGTTTGTTCCTTGAAGCCAAACTGTCGCCCGTTGAGTAGTCCCGCTTTGGTTGCGCAATATATGAGACGCTTAATGTATAATTTTTCGAGCAATTTTCCAAAGACTGGCAAGAGTCCTATAGGGCGGAAGGAGCTTAATTCGCTATAATCAGTCTTGCTTGGCTTTGGTATGATTTTAACTTCGGCTCTCTTCCACTGCTGAGGAAAGTAATGGAGCTCTAGACACCTGTTCATGATTCCCGTTATAAGTTCTGGGTAATTAATAGTAAATTGTAGGCAGATGTCAGATGTCAGACCATCAATGCCGGGTGCCTTCTTAGGATTCATCCATTTGAGATGTTCCAAAACCTCCTCGACAGCGAATGGGGGTTCATCTACACCATCTGGCTCATTCCCGATTCTGGATCTAAGAAACTGGTGTTGGTGCGTGTCATTATCTGGTGTATCATCACCGTAAAAGTGATCCATGAGTGCTTGAGCCGTCTCCGTTTCGCTGCTGGTGTAATTGTCACCAATTTTTATGGTGGCTGGTGGCCGCTTGGGTGCAGTGTCCTTCAGAAGTCTATTCGTGAGAGTCTAAACGTTTTCTTTTGTTTGTAGTTCGCAGAACTCTCTAAAACTCCTGGAAGACTCCGCCCTCAGTTCCTCCGCATATATTGCCTTTTTATTATTTAATTCCTCTGCTAGTTGGTCTAGAGGCAGATTCCGACGTCTCATTCGGTTTAGTCTGTGGTGTAACTGGATGACTTCTTTTTTGAGGTCTGTCAGTTTTTCCGTCCACCATAACGGGCGATGCTTCGTCAGGGATCGGCCTTTCTTTGTCGGCATAGATTCTTCACACGCTTTATGAATGATCCCGCAGATGTCATCAATCAATTTCTCCAAGCCAGCTGTGTTCAGCGATCCGATGTCTCTCTCCAATATATCTGTATTGGTCATAAGCGTGTGGAGTGCATCCTTGAATATTCCCCAATTGGCCTTGTTGCTGTTGTACTTAAACGTGGAGTTGGTTACCGATGAGGAGTTCAAGGAAGAATTCTCAGTCGCAATCTAGTATTCCACCGCATTATGCTGCGATGAAGGGCAGGCGTTGAGGTTGACCTTCCACCCGACTACACGGTCAAATATGTGTCCATGGGCCAATGTGAGGTCTATTATAGAAGTCCGATCCCTGCCGTGTGTGACGGTTTCAAAGGTGGGTGAGGTGCCGACATTGCAAACGAAGAGATCATTTGCATGTGCCAGCTCCACTACCGCACATCCTCTAGGGTTATTGGTCTTACTGCCCCATAGATGGTGCCATCCATTAAAGTCACCGCCAATGATGGTATTTGGGCATCGGGAGATCTTGAGAAAATTATCTATATGCTCTAATGTGTTATTTTCGTCTGAATTCGGTTCGATATATGCGGAGGCTATGTGTATTTTATGACCGCCACTTGTGAATTGAATAACGCAAAGATTTGAGTTAGAGTATTGTGACATACCAATCACCTGACCGCAGCCTGGTTTAGTGAGTATACACGCCTTAACTCTACCTTTTCCACCAAATTGATGTATGTTGAGTCCCTGAGTTGGTCGCACCTCATTTCCTAAGCCAACATATGGCTCCGACAGCAATGCAATTTGATAGCCACCTGCCATGAAAGAAAGAATAAATTCATGTAAACTCTTTTTTGAACGATCAATGTTACACTGTATAATTTTTATATTTTTATTAATTAAATCCATAATCAATTCTGTTAATTATTCTTTCTCTCATGGCTCTCAGTTTTGGACATTCCAGTGACATGGCAGAGTGGCGGACATCCGCTTTGGTACCAAATTTATCATTATGAGATGCACAATTAGCGCATATGGCAGTACCTTGTTTGCCCTTATCAGGACATTTTTCGCCTGTGTGCTCCTTACTGGAACAGTGCGAGCATTGACTAGTTGCGGCTGTGCAGTACTTTTTAATGTGCCCAAACTGCAGACACCTGTGGCACTGCAGAAAGGGTGAGAATTCGCTGATGTGTAGTCGCTGGTAGTCAACACTGATTTTGCCCTTTTCAATGAATTTACGAAAGAGTTTGGGTGCCACAAGAAACACTGCGTTGTATAGCCCCGGGTTTTTGTTGCTACGCCTAAATCGGAGGCGCATGTCATCGTCCTCAATAAAAGCCTCTTTCAACTCTGGGTTCTGCCCCCTGACAATACCAGCTATCTCTTCAGCTGGTATATCTTTGGATATACCCTTTAGTATAATCATTGGCCGCAGTCCCTTAGCCGGCTCAACGCTTACGTGCTCAGACGATTTTAGCTTTTGTAGGGTGTCATTACGTTGTTCGGTTGTGTCAAATTCCACTCTAAGTTTGTGATTTGACACTGCCTGAACCCTAGCTATTGCATAATTCGCTGTGCGGTACGATATGCTCTTCTTAAACGCCTCGATTGCTTCCTGTCGTGATTTGGGGGTTACCTTTGGGGTCACCACGATGGCCGGCTTGTTGTTAGATGTACCGTGGGCTGGTGGCATAGTGGTCACGCTGGGAAGAGAGCCCGGCCAACTGCTGGTCGCAGCGGCCTGGGCGTATGAGGCAGGCCGTGCCTGCTGTTGAAGCTGCGTGGTTATTTGGCCCTTTAGTTTGGCCATCTCGCTCCTGACACAGGCGACGATGTCAGCCTTCAAGTCGCTGTTCATGTTACTCTGGGAGGGGGGGTTATTGGCGGGGGCAAGCACTGTAGACATGCTTGTCAGTTTATGCCCACACCTTCTGATCTCCTCGGCAGCTAGGTTGATGAGTCTCTTCTTTGCGGCGGTGACTGACTTGCCGTCAGAGACCGCTTTAGTAATGCAGTCAGAAAGTTTTTGTATCGTCGTGACAAAAGTATCGATGTTGGTTATTTCCCCGTAGGAGGGAGGGAGTGGTTTCACTAGTATGATCCTTAGAAGTAGTAGTGGCCATCTTGCTAATTAATTAGTCCAAGTTTAAAAAAAATAAATAAATAAATAAAATAAAAAAATGTTTATATCGTCATCGGAGGGGGGGGGGTTCCCACTACGGAATATCACTGCACTGATAGTACTATCATGTAATAATGTTTAGGAGTCTCAAAGTTCACACACACGGTAATAGTCAATTTTTACACATATGAAACTAACAACCTAGTCAAGAATTACGTAATTCTATCCAATATCTATCGGAACGAAAGTCGCGATGATAAAAAAGAGTCAACAGCCGTGACGATCTCCGCGGTAAAAAAAAACCACTCGAGATCCTTCGATTTTTGCAACACTACACTGATAACCTTGGTGAGTACCAAGAGTTTTAACACAAATGTTTTTTTTTTTCCCTTCACACTGTGTTCACTAAACCACCAAAGAATACTGTCGTGATGTATTGATTAGTTATATTTCATTGCGAATATTTCTGATACAACGCGTGCGGCCCCACCGAACGGCCGTGAGCGACCCGTTGGTCATTGGTTAAGTTAATTAAAAGTTCAATGTCCGGCCCTCACGTGGCATAGATGGTCATGCGCGGACGTGGAGTTAGATTTACGAGGGCCTACAACTCAACCGCCTGAATGTAGCACGGTGACGTTCAAGTAGTGACTAAACACAGCACGGAGGCACACGAAGCGGGCTTGATGCGTGTTATCGTAGGTCAGCGTCAAAGTTCGTTACAAATAAATTTGAAATGTTTTCGCTTATATCTTACAATTGTCTTTGTATTTCACAATTCCGATTTCACCATTGGAAAGAGCACTTTTTAAAGAAAATAATGATTATAAACACATGCTATAGCAACTAAAATTTACTGCACTTTAGATTTAAAATTCACGGAGCGAAAGTAAACACGTCTTATACTCTCGGGTATCGGTCGACGGAAGGATTCGCTTAGGTTAGGTTAAGTTAGGTTAGGTTAGGTTAGGCTATCGCTATCATCTTGATTTCTAGAAGTTTTAAAAGATGTTTTTTTGCCTAGGTAGTTATAATGGTCTACATATTCAAGCTCTATGTCATCTACTTTTACTGGGTGTTTTGTGCTATTTGTGGATAACTTTGTTTTTCCGGTGTTTAGTTTTAGGCCTAATTTTGTGCTTGTATTGTTGATTTCTTGTATCATGGTTTAAAGTTTTTTATGTGAATAGGAGAAGATAGGAAAACAATATCATCGACGAAGCGAAGATTACTTAAATAGTTGCCATTAAAATCAACTCCTGTTTCATTCCAGGACATGTATTTCATAATGTGTTGTAGTACTGCTATGAAAAGTTTAGGTGAAAGAGGATCGCCTTGTTTTACTCCTCTACGTAATTTGATATCAGGTCCTGTACGATCAAGCTTAACTCGGCTTGTGCTTTGCTCATAGATATTTTTGTGATATATTATAAAAAATATATATATATATATATATATATATATATATATAATATCTATATATATATAATATAATGTTTAAAGCCTTCCATGTACCGTCATGGAATATAGAGTCGAATGCTTTTATGTAGTCTGAAAATCCAAGATGTAGAGGTTTACTGAACTCCACAAATTTTTCAATTATTAAATCTATAGTATGGATATGATTTATGGTGCAGAAACCTCTACGAAAGCCCGCTTGTTCTGTGGGTTGCTGTTCATCTATTAGACCTATCCATTTTTCAAATCAAGGCACAATGCGAAAAATTTATATATCGCAGGTAACAGACTTATCGGGCGATAGTTGCTAGCATTCGTTGTGTCACCTTTTTTATACAAGAGAATAATTCTGGATTTTGTCCAGTTTTTGGGAGCGCTACATTTTGCTAAAACTCTATTAAACAGTTCCATGAGAGGCATGGCTAATAGATGTTTGCCAAGCTTCTTGGCTTTTTTTCTGTATATTCAGAGATAATTCTTCACGATATCGCGTTGTCGGACTTCAGTGATTATTTTTTGTTAGTAACATAGTACCTTAGGGGTGACCTCATATTAAATTGGTGAAGATTAGACATTGGGACCAATGAGAAGATTATCAAAAACTCTTCAATTTGCGAAGAGGCCTTACATTCATCATCCATCCATTCCAGCCTATAAAAGTCCACTGCGGAACACATCCTCCCTCATAGATTGCCTTACGGGGAGATTTTGCTAGAGTTGCCAGTTACTTGGCAATCGGGTTGGCAACAGTAATCTTATGTTATTTTGAGTTATTTTCTAGAATCTGCTATTAACCATCTCCTGTTTTATTTCCTCTCTGTCACCTCTTACACCCTGACACTCTCGGGATGCTATGGAGTATTGGATATTCTTACACCGATACTACACGGTTGCACGACATGTAAACGAATAAATATTTACCATGTCGACCGATTTCAATGATTGTATCATTTTTATTAGTTTGAAGACTGTTTTTATTTTCTTAAAACTTTGATTAAACTCATTTGTTAATATTCTATTTTATCCTATGAATAACTTTTATCTTAGTATTGAAATTTGGACCCTGAGACTAATATTCAATGTTCTGATACTTTATTATTTAATATCTAATATATTTACGGTGCACCCAATTGAGAAATAGACACTAAATACGAAACTTCTGACAAATATATAAGAAAAGCATAAAGTACTACTTTATATCTATATTACTATCTTCAGACAATCGTATTACAATGAAGATAAATGGGTTTGTAATATTTTGCGATTGTAGAATTCTACTATCCCAAGCAACTCAAATTTGATAACTATCAGACGAGGACGACTAATGGATGACGTGTCAAGGCATCGTTACTAGAGCTTCACTGGAGCCTTATTCACGAGTAATAAGTATTTACAACACTATCGTCTAAAATTAGGTACGCCGATTCCATCAATTATTTTTAAATTCTTGAACCATTTAAATCGAATTGTGAAACTTTTGCCAGTTTTTATGACAAATTTTATTTCGAGTTTTGTTTTTCTAGAATTAGAGTGACAAGTTGGTGGTATTTTTAGAATGTGGCTGTGGGCCATACGTATCGAAAAAACATCTATGCTCGTTAAAAAAATCAAAATTCTGATGCGTTTTCACTCCGGAAAACTAAGATGGAATGCCTTATTGTATGTATGTATGTAATTGCTGTATAGTAATAACTTTTCCCCCGGTACCGGACGTCTGAGAAATCTGAAAATTGCAGGGGTATTAAGAACAAAATAGTAACAATCAATTATTGTAATTAGCGATTTCGCAATAATAATTAAATGTTACTATTTCCTCGGCTTAATTCAACTGACAATACGAGTACAAGAATTTTATGTTTATCATCTAATTTCTTACTCTATTATCATGTGAAGGCAAATATTTACAAGTGTAAGATTTGTCATGATAAGCAAAAAAGAAATAATATGTTACAAATTTATTATGATATAATATATATATACCTAGTAATTGAAATCATATATCAATGGAAACTTTTTAAATAAGCTTTCAGAATATACATAACAGATATATATGTTATATATGTATGTTAAACAAAAATAGTGCTATACGAAACGAGGTTAAATAAACAGTACTTACGTCTACATTGCAAATATCAAATGAATGAATGAATGAATATACTTATATTGTACACCACAAACAAATATACAGATAACAAAACACAAAGCAGTACATTTAAAATTTATAATATTATGTAAGTACAATTTGGCGGCCTTATCGCTACATAGCGATCTCTTCCAGGCAACCAAAGGTGTAAGGATTAGAACAGTGAGAACTAGGTGGGTGGTGCACACACAACAATCACTGTTAAACACAACAGTTTAACAGTGATAGATACACGCAGCAGCTTTTGCTGTCGCACGGATGGCACGCACAAACCGGGATGGTACCACGACCTCACAGAATACCATCGTAAAGTAGAAGTTTACTTCTACTAAGTGCTGGTGGCCAGAGGCCCAATTCCCCCACCCCCTTAACATGTTAGCAAAATTAAATAAAACACTACCACAGGAGAGTACCAGCACACCTGGGGACGGAGAAACTTCGCTCATGACTAAAAGTGCTCGGGGTAAGCGCAGTAATAAGACAAAGACGACCGCTGTCACGCCAGGGTACAAACTAGAACACTTCTTTGTGCCCCTGGCTGGATATCTATTTTCGACGCATCGGCAGTCTTGAGCAACGACCATCCCTTCGTCTACGGATGCCTTTATAGGTTCCATAGCCGACACAAAAAAACTCATTGACCACGTCCAAATGGCTACAGATTCCTTGCTACAACAAATCCCATTCGCAGAGATCGTGATTCTTGGCAATTTTAACACCCACTACGCCGAATGGCTCGGTTCACGTTTAGCCGATCATGCGAGGAGTTCGGTTTATGATTTTGTATTATCAGTTCCGTATGTAGCAAGTGCGCCAGGAAACATCACACGCTATTACATTTTGAAAATAGCAACATATCGGCGTCAAGTAAAGCGGACAAGGAATTCGCCCCCACTAAAGTTAACGATTCTAGCGGTCGATCTGGTGATGTCGCTCTGTGCTCATTGGCAAATATGGGAGCACAACCTCCTTCAACCGTGTTACTGGGTACGGCACGTATTTTGGTTAGGGATTCGCGTGGAAACGAACAAAGCGTCCGTGCACTGCTGGACAGCGGAGCCCAAAATAGCTTTATAACGCGGCAATGTTGTCAGCGCTTAGGCTTAGTAATAAATAGGTCACTTTCATGTCCCGTAGTCAAAGGCATCGGAGGTACTAGTAAAGTTACCCAGGGATATATAAATTTAAATTTTTATTCTCGGATAGATCGTAATGTTAACTTTGATATAAATGCACTAGTAGTAGATAGGGTCACTGAACGGTTGCCAACCGTTTCGGTTGACACCTCGGCAATGATTGAATTTAAAAATTTCACTCTAGCAGACGACACTTACGCCGTTCCTGGAAACATAGACGTGCTCATTGGAGCATCGCTTTTCCCTCATCTTTTGTTAAACAATAAGG